CAGTTTGCTACCTGTTTTTTGCATCTGCTGAATTAGGCTTTGTTTGTTGATCATTTCTATTCGATTACTTTATTTGTTCAATCTATTTTTGTATTTTTGTTGTTTGACTATTTACTTCCTAATTTAGTTTTGTACATAACTTGATGTTTGTTGTTTTTTTTTGCTAATTGTTGTAAATTTCTAAATCAGGAACATGACTGCTATGTTTGTTTAGTGTTTACAATTTTTGGTTGATCATATGACTTGACAATTTTTCTGGTATAGTGTAATGCCTTACTTTTGTCAAAAAAATTTTTGAAATCGACTTTGAGTTTCTATGTAATTTGGTTTTGGCAAAATTAAATTTTATATTGAAATAAAACAAAGAAAACACACTGGATAAGTAAAATCTATGGTCTTTTAAATGCTTTAAGAGGGACAAGTTCAGTTGACTAGTTTGTGAGAGTCATAGTTAGTAAACAAATTTGTTTGGTCTTTACTAGAGTTGCCACCTTTATGTTAGCACAAAACCGAAGTTAGCTATTTGTGACTTCTGACTTTCCGATAGTATTGAAACTAACTGTGTTATATTTAGGATTTTTAAAGAGAACTATATTATTATAAGAAACTTATAGTATTGTTTTCTAAATTTTTGTTAATTTTGTTTGTTTTGATGATCTGAGTTAAATATTAACTAATAATAGAAAATAAAAAAATAATATTATACTAGATGTAGCTAGATATATATAGCAATAATAGTATAATTTAAGAATAATTCTTTAGTTATATATTATATCTAATTAATATATTCATGTATTATTATTTTTCTATTTGATATTATATTAATAAAAAATATATATATATTTACAAGATATATAAAATTTAATACGAAACAAGCTTATTTAAGAAGAGTGTAATGACCTATTGAAATAGATAAGTTGTCAACCCTTAAGTAGCAAATCTAAGGTTCAATTCTTATAAATAATGAATTTTGAAAATTATATCTGTGTTATGATACTGTCTTTTATCAATTAGTTGAGTTTTGAGTATCTGTAATCTTAGATACACCAAGTCAGGTCCCACCTAATATTAGAAGCTTGGGACATTTATATGAAGTGTAATGTTATATGTATATAGAAGAATATGAAAAACCAGTATTGTATAAAACTTCAGTGCAAACTTATAATAAAACCACTGAATATAGAAAACTAAAAAACTAAGAAAACAGAAATTTACTTGAAAATCTTAAGTAAAGAAGTAATACAAACTTTCAATAATGTTATTAAACTAATGAAAGTCTATGAAACATCTTTATAAGAACTGTCAGATAAATGAGATAACAAAATGTATAAAGGAGCATATGACCAATTAAGCTATCAGAATTACTGAAAAAAAAAATATATAAATATATTATGCTGAGCTATTTAGATTGGAAGTCTGGAAAACCAGTTGGTTCTAAGTTGCAGTTAGTAGTAAATAATAGAAAAGAAGTCAGAAAGATGGATATTAGGGTTTAGGTAAACTTTACAAGAGTAATAGTAGTTTAATAAGTAATCCTGATTGCAAGTGTTAGTCTTGACCATAGTGTCAAATCAGGTTAGCAGTAAAAGGAAATATGACTCATTCTGGTAGATTTGTTTTAAAAATAGAAATAGTCTAAGAATTATAGTTTTATAATTAAAAGCAAATAGATCTGGGTCTGTAATCCAGTGAAATTAATACTAGAGTCAGATCAAAGGGTTTAAATGGAACATCTAAACAGGGATGTTAGATATTGCAACTAATGAAAAATCTTCAAGCAGATTCTTTAAATAAGTAATATAGAAAAATTATATATGTAACTAGTTGTACACTTGTCTGATAGTTCAATATAAATATGTCTATATAAAACATGTATTCAACATAAGTATTAATAAAAACTAGGACCAAAGAGATCACCTTAATACTAAAAAAAAAAAGAAGCTTATTTAAGAGTCCAAGACAGATTATTTTAGTAAAATAAATAATTATAAATATTTTTAAACAGTTGAGGTTTTAATTAAATTTTATGCAATAAATTTGTAGAAAAAACTTTTTCTATATCATTTGAAACCCAAGATTCTTTTCTATTTACATATGAGTTTGTTTTAAATTATTGTTATTAATAAAAAAAAACCTTATAAAATTATGTTATTAGAAAATTATTTTGTATCTTTTGATGTCATGTAATTTACTCATAAGTAAATAAAATATGGTCTATGATTGGACCCGTCAAATTTTCACTTTCATGTAATGATCATCTAATAGTGAGTCTTGGTTTAATGTAACATTGCACGATCAGGAGATCAAAACAAAATGTTTGCTTTTCAAAAATTGCTTACTTCTCAAAAACTTGCATAAAAAACTACCTTTCAAAAATAAATTCCTTGAGTGATTTTACTATTACTTTTCTAAAACCTAGCCCTATTATAAACGCTAACCCTAACTTAAACGAATTTACATACTGTCACGTGAAAGTGAAAATGTGACGGCGATACTGAGAAGGCCCCAATATGGAGGGTCTAAAGCAAAAAATGAATCATGTGATCGTGCCAATCAAATTATAGAATTTTGATGATCGCGGCAAGAAAGAAAAACAAAAACCTAAAAATAGGCAGTCTAAACCTACCTCTTGTAGGTTAAGTAAAAATATTAAAAGGCAATTTTGCATAGATATATATAAAACCTAACCTAATCCTAATTGTAGATGACCTAGCCCTAAAGTTAATTCAAAAAAATTAATTATATACCTTTAATATGGCCGAACTCTAGATGGTTGAGTAACAAACAGGTTTTTACACAAAATTAAGCAATTGATTAGGTAATGTAAGTATCGCAAAGATTATTGTTATCATGAGGACCAATTTAAACTAGTAATAAACTGGTATTTAGAACAATCCCACAGTTCTGTCGATCTCGGTCTTTTGTAAAATCGATGCAACCTAATTTTAAAGTTTTTTTTGTTATATCTTATATACAACTACATTGTTATACACTAAAAAGTTCTTTGTTCTAAACGTAGTATAGAAATCGGTTTATCCATTTTTTAAAAAAAGGGTATTAAGTATTTCTTGCTAAGCTAATATATTCGATAATTTAGTAAAGTACTTCGAGGTTGTCGTTATTTTGATGACCAATCAAAAGATATGTCACACCTGTTGATATATGAGTATTATTTTATAATAAAATCTATAATAAAAACATATAATTTCACATTATTTTCAACTTACATATTAATTTAATATTTTAGGGTTAAGCATATCGAAAATAGTAGAATAAAGTTATTTAGAACACTTTTTTAAAGTTCTTTAAAAAGAAACCATTTCTAATTTTAAAGTGTAATATATAATATGTAAAATTGTAAATGCTAAATATGTTTACTTAGAAGGCAAAAATAGGTTACCTTAGTAAAAAAATAAATTAGCTATAAACTAAAGTTAAAATTTTTAGTTTATATATGTATGATTTTTTTTACTAAAGAAACCTATCTTAAACTTCTAAGTAAACTTACTCACATAAAATTTTACTTGTATGTATTTGTTAAAATGTGTTTTATCATACCTTTTACTAAGTAAAAAATTGGATTAAATTCAGATGAATTTTTTTTTAATTTTTTACTTAATAAAAGGTCTGAGAAACCGTATTTTAACAAATATATGCATGTAAAATTTTATGTTAAGTAAAGTTTACTTAGAAGGCAAAGATAGGTTTCTTTAGTAAAAAAAAAAAAAAGTTATACATATATAGTTAAACTAAAACTTTTAAATTTAGTATATAGCTAACTTGTATTTTACTAATATAACCTACTTTTGTCTTCTAGTAAACGTGTTCAGCATACAATTTTACATATAATTACACTTTTAAAATTAGAAAATATAAAATTCAATTAAGAAAATTTACACTTTTTATAGAATTTTAAAAGTGTTTTAAATAACTTTAATCTTCTATTTTGATATGCTTAACTTTAAAATATGAAATTAAGTTAATACGTATGTTGTAAGTTGAAAATAATGTGAGGCTTTAAGTTTATAGTAAATTTATTATGAGAAAACGTCGATGTTACACGACTGATCCTTCACCCGGTGTGCAACATAAAAAAAATTATTTACAATAATAAAGTGTACCATCGTTTCCTCTTATCATTATATGATTTATCACTCTGTCTCTGTGTCATATTCCCTGACTGAAAGTATTATTCACTTTATTGATCAATCAGAATAAATTTCACTTATACCGTAGATAGATGTATATTGAGGAAATTACTTACCTTTTTTATTATTAAAGTTAACTATATCAATATAGAAACATATTTGATAGTAACTGTCAGTCCAAATATTAAATTATATCTTAGCTGATTTGTTTATGATATGCGGCTGTAATTCGCGTGTAAGCATGTATGTAAATCGCTGCATAAATGACTAGATTTTTAATCCTTAAATTTTTATTCGGGATCTCCTATGTATTGGAAGCTTCCATTGGAAGTCATAATTAATGTAGAATATCTGAGATTAGCTAAGTTGTTGTACGTAGCATAAAATAAAACAGAAATACGTAATATATTACTAAAAAAAATTTTTTTTTCTGTATATTTAACATAGTAAACAATGAAATTGCAATTTTCATAAATCGCAGTACAAGCTACAGTCAGGAATATAACATTTCCTATCGTTAACTTCTAAGAATGTTTACACGTGCGTGACCAAGTATTAATCAGTATTAGTACATGATCTGCGATTATTTATATTAGTATTCAATAAGATATTTAATACTAATTCTCACGGTCGACCTACAATTCTTGCCCTTGCAAAACGTGTTCAAAATTTTAAATAAGCATAATCATCATATGACCAAACAATGGTATTAAAAACTCCGTTATGATGCATTTGGTTCATTATTAACTTTAAAATTGTAACCTCTTTGATCCTGACTTGGCTTAATTTTTCTATCTTTGCAGTTCATCGTTGGATTGTTTTTCGTCATTTTATATATAAATAACAAATGAAATGAGTTACAATCATTATAACCATTCATTTGACGTATCAGCTGAGTTGGGTCGATTATTACAATCCAGCGAAAATTTTGATGTAAAAATAACTGTTGGTAGAGACCTTGATGTTAAAGAATTTGGGGCTCATTCAATTATTTTGCGTGCTCGGTCTGTTTATTTTCAAAAAGCACTGTCTAGACATTGGGCACGTGAAGAACATGGAGTTTATATATTAACAAAGCCTAATATTTCTCCTGATACTTTTGATGCTATCCTCAAGTTGGTTAAATTTTTATGATTATTGAAATTTTTTTTAAAAATATTAAATTTATTAACTTATTTTTATTATTAGGTATATTTATACTGGAACTATTACCTTTGACTCTGTAGGTGATCATGCACTAAATATCCTACTAGCATCTGATGAATTCGAACTTCATAACTTAACGGAATGTGCTCAAGATCACATAATAAAATATCATTCCTCATGGATATCATCTAATCTTTTAATATTAATTCGTATTGTATCTCACAACGACCACTTCAAAAAATTATCTACTCATGTTCTAAGGCTTATATGTAGAAATCCTCTTATCCTCTTTGAATCAGATGATTTCCTTACTTTGGATGAAGATGCTTTGTATCTCCTCCTCAAAAGTGATGACCTTGAACTTGAAGAAATAGAAATTTGGAATTATTTGGTTAAATGGGGTATTGCAAACTCTGAATTAGATCAAGACCCAACAAGCTGGTCCAATCATGATGTTGCTGCGTTTGGGGAATGTATTTCTCGTTGCATTCCATTAGTTAGGTTCTGTCAAATGTCAAGCAATGATTATTATATCAAAGTTCGGAAAGTATTTAAAAGAGTTATTCCAGAGGATATCGATGAACTAGTTTTGCAATATCATTTAAATCCTGGTACTGTTGACAAATCTCAAATTCCACCACCGAGAGCCCTCAGTGTTACCTTAGATTCAAAATTGATTAATCCTAAAGATGCAGCCGTAATTTCGAGTTGGATTGACCGAAAAGAAGATAATTTTTATACCTTTAATAATAATCCATACAAATTTAAACTTATATTACGTGGAACTAGAGATGGTTTTGATGTCAAAACATTTCACAATTTGTGCGATTGTCAGGGTCCAACAATTGTAATCCTTAAAATGCAAAAAACTGGTGAATTAATCGGTGGATATAATCCTTTAGATTGGAGAGGGTTCCGTTATGAATATATTAACGTGGATCCACATAGGAACTCTAATCGAAGAACGAGAAAAGCTCTTTGTGAAGTACCTTACCGCGATGAAAATCGCAAAACCTTGGATAGTTTTATTTTCTCATTGACTAATCGTGCGAATCCTGTGTTAAGCAGGGTTGCGTCGAATACAAAGGATCAAGCAATTTTTTGGGACGGAATGAAAGGACCTTGTTTTGGTGAAACCGATTTGTTTATGAAAGCATCTTCAGAATCTGCTGATGCCCCAATTACTGTTTCAACGACTTATTCTTCAATGTCACCATCAACTTCAATTCGACAACATTCTCAAATTAATTGGATTACGAAGCAAAAAAATTACCAACGTAAAATTACTGATACGGAAGTGTTTGACGTTGAAGAATATGAAGTTTTCATACTGGATAATCATTATCTACAAGCTGTTCGAATTGTTAATTTTATTCTTAGAAGAAGTTTTGAGTTGGCAAGACTAGGATTTGAGCGTGGTTATGAGCTTTATTCTGAAATACCAAATGATAAGTGGAATATTATTTTTGATGCTTGTATTGTTGTAGGAATTTTTATCTTTATCCTTTCCTTTTTTATATATTTTTCATCACATTCATAATTAGCCTATTCAATAGGCAAGCTTAAAAACTAACATTGACTTTTTTCTACATTCTTTGAATATTTGTAATCTATTATTGATATATATACACATATATATACATCTATATGATTTTATTCTCATGTTAAATATGTCATAACAACTTTACTCATTAAAATCTATCAAGAATCATCAATTTCCTTTAATGTATGAATTATGGCAGGTTGTTAGAACATCCATTTAATTAACAAAGCGTATATTTTCACGATCATAAAATTTATTAGTTACGAGATTAACATTCGTTTTCTTTGCGTAAAAGTAAAGTCCGTCTTTATGCAAAAGTGATAAATACATTCCTAAATGGCATTATAAAGTTGGTTGCGTAGTCAATATTGTAAATGTTTTTTTAGGATTAAGTTAGGATTTGTTAAGTGTACGTAGTAATGCTATGCATCATTTCTTGATTATTAATTGACACACATTTTTCAATTTCCACTGATTGATAAATGACCCGGGTCGCACGTCTGAAATCTGACAGGTTATGTCGATTCACCAAATCGAATACACATTTTCAATTTTGGACTACGCCAGCAAAATATTTTAGGCCGGAAGTGATCATTTATTTATAAAGAAATTAAAATGACATCAGTTAGCAGCACATGAATAATGGGCCGGTGATGGCCAGAACGGCGATGATATCCTGAAAAAATTTGCAACATCATTTGCGCTGGGAGTCGCCGTAGGATTTGACAGTCGGTGGTTTCCCGCCTGCCGAAGCAGGCCGGCTGTTAGCAGAGAGACGGGTGAGCAGAGAAATAGCAGAATCACGTGGCATCCAATTGGGTGGGCTGGGTGGGTCGCGAATTGCTCGTTCTTAGTTCGTTTTCTTGTTCTAGGATCTTATATATACTAATACATACCATTTTCGTCACTTATCCGTCTGATACTTATATTACTCTGTACATCGTTAACATGTGTTGCTGCGTTGTTCACATATGCTTCTCTTCAATCAGTTGCCCTATAAAGGAGTTTGCCGGTTGCGTGGCTTGAATGTGTGCCACTTCGCTTTTTGATCCCGTGATTTAACATCACTCCGCAGTAAGATCAAATTTCAACACAGGCTTTAATTTTCTTGATAATCGATATTTAAATATACCCATGGCTAAAGCTTCGTGCTGAAGGTGATCAACACATGCTAATTCTTAATGCAGATCATATTATAATTATTAATGATGCCAATAATGATAAATAAATAAATTTTGAAAAATATCTTTTATCATGTATTTTTTTTTCTCCTTCTACTAATGAATCCAAAAAGCTATTCTTTTCTGACCCGTGAGACCTTAACCGAATATTAGAACATACACAAATCAAAGAAAAAAAAACGAACTTTGATGGATAGAGAACGCTACAATGGATGTCTTAATACACATCCAATTCATAATTTTCAGGAACGTCAAACTTATAATGTTCAACACTCAAGTCATACAATTCATACTATGCAAGAACGCCCAACTCAAGAACATCCAATACAAGAATGCTTAACTCAAGAATACCCAAGAACGCTTAACTCATACATTTCTGAAGTAAGTAATTAAATAAATAATTTTGAATTTCAATTAAAATTTTACTGATATAATTTGAATTGAGGTAACAGTGCAAATAATAATGGTTCAAGTCAACAGCATCAGGGTGCAGTACAAAATTTTCCGGATATTGGTCAGAACTACTTGCACTAGAAATAGGCTACTATTTATAATATTTAGGTGTGTTCTTAGTGCACTATGATAGGTTTAGACGATCACTTTCCATATTTTCGTGCTTTTCATTTTTTTTTTTTTTTTTGTTGTCCGCATCCTGATGTTGTTGGTTCAAGTCAAAACCTCGCCTAAATTCTTGCAGTTGCCGAAAAACAATTGCAGTACTAATTCTTGCTCTTGCAGAAAGAAAAATTCGGTATATTCGGGCGCTGTGGATGCGTTTTACGTGGACAATGTAGTAAAGTTAATATAACTTGCATAAATTTGAATATTTTCGGTTAAATGTAATACGTAGAATAAATATCTCTACCAGTTTTTTTAATTTGCAATTTTATACCGATTGAAAAATGACGTACGTCGTTTTTCAATTGAAAAATGACGTACGTCGTTTTTCAATTGAAAAATGACATGCGTCAATTAATAATTGACGGAATTTAAAAATGACGCATAACAGTAATACGAATCGGTAACTAATTGATTTCTGATCAGATGAAACGCTATTATAATTAATTATGTTTATGCTGAGCGGACTCAATTACACGCGTGTATGTTGTTGAGGTCACAACTATGTATAAAGAAAAACCAACCATCTAGCGTCGCCCAAAAATCAGTGCAATCGAAGAATGTATATCTGCAGTCAAAATTCTTAATGTTAGGGTTAGGGTCAGAGCTAAGAGTTAGAGTAGTTTTAATAGTTATTGCTCACTTCCCAAAGTCCATTTTTCTGATCTGAAATACCATTTCACCAAAGTCGTAATACCGACAATCCATTTTACTAACAGGACAGAAATAGGATTATAGAAGTCGATAATATGTATGTGTTATTGTTTTATTAATAATTATATGGGTTAAGAATTATGTGGGTTATGTCGCGCTTTAATAAAGGATATGGTAACTTAAAATAAATAGAATTATAATAAATAAAAGATGGTTTTGTTAATAATTTATTTACATGGAATTTTTTGATGAGTTGAGCTTGGGTTTATTAATAATAAATATTAATTTATGCATTATTTATCTATTCTAAAATGATACAAATTCTTTTTTTACATGCATTATTAGTTGTAAGCTTCTTAATATAAAGTTCTTTTCGTTTTATTGTAGTATTAAAACGATAAGTCATTTTAAAAATTATGTCTTTGGATTGGCTAATTATCATAGGAAATCACAGGTAGATCTACCACTGATAAATAAACTGTACACATGTCAAGGATTTAAAAAAAAACAATTTAAAAAAATTTTTATTTTGATTTTTGATAATTACTAATCCATTTTGTTAAAACAGTTTCAAGTTGTTTGGTTTTAAGGGGTTTAGTAAGATAATCGGTTATTCCTGGTTCTATACATTTGTCACGTAATCCTTCCATGAGCAATGCAACAATTGGTATATTTGGACCACGAGCTTCCATAGATCTAATTGCCCGTAAAATATCAGAAATTGAAATTGTTTGCTAATAATACAGTAGATAATTACATAGTTAATAATTTATAACTAATGTAGCATTATTGAATTCAGTCAAACTTACTAAATCACATCCTATCAAAATCATAGAAATTCTGCAGGAACTTATTCTATTTGTATCTGAACTTGATAAATTCGGACAATTGAAATTTAATGGTTCAAATTCAGATTTAATTATATTAATTACTTCTTGGCTATTTGTTGCAGAAATGGTTGAATAACCAAGTTCTGAGAGTTGCTGCTGTGTAACCTATAAAAAAAGTAGATTAGCAAAAATTTTTGAGAATACTGCAGTACTGAGTAACAATATTATTACCTTTAAATCAGTAAAATTATCATCCTACAAATAATCAACTTTGTCAAAATTGAACTGACAATTTTTGTAATTAAAGAAATTGCGCTTACCACACACAAGATACATTGACTCTTAGAAATAGATCTTGATCTACTCTTATAAACTGCCCTATTTGCATCTTTACATAAATCTAGATTTGCACCTTTAGCATGGCTAACATTATATTCAGTTGTTCTTTTTAAAATTCCTTTATTCTCAATAACGTCATCCCTCACACTTGACAATAGATTATAAAGCTTTTGCCAAGTAATTGGAGAATAAATAATGCCAGTTCGTCCTCCAACGTTCGAAATTAAATTTTCTGCCAAAGATGTTCCTTTATCACTCGGAAGTAACATAAAGATTACTAATAAATCATTATCATACATATTCATTTCTCTTAACTCCAATACAACTTTCGTGACTTCCTCTTTATTTTGTTTGTAAAGACTAATAAATACTATGTCATAAGCAGATTTATTGTGCAGTTCCAGGTAATTTTTTGCTTCTTGGATACCTTTACAAGAAGTATCAAATGCATCAATCTTTTTAACCATTTTAAGATACTTAAGTATTGCATTTCTTACACCTTCTACTGGATGAATTACTAAGATTCGTTTTAAGATAATAGAAGATGGTAATACATAATCTATTTGCCTATTAAATAACATATTTGGTGGTAATAGATCAATATTCCATGTAAACCAGAATTTGCTCCCTCTTCCTAATTGGCTTTTGGCATTAATTTTTCCACCATTAATTGTTACTAAATTTTTAGAGGTTGAAAGGCCAAGTCCAATACTATCTTGTCCTCTAGTAATTGATGATTCCGTTTGTGAAAAACATTCCCAAATATGTTCCATAAATTTTGGATCAATACTACAGTGTATCATTAGATAAGTATAAAACAAAATGCTTTTGAATAAAAAATTTGATGATAATAAATAATTACAATTAGCTTACCCAATTCCAGTATCACATAATTCAATTAATAAATAATTCTTGTTGACCATGTGATCATAAGTTGGACTTTTTATATCTTTATCAATGAATCTTTCTGATCGAATTGAAATATCCATTACAACTTCACCTGCCTCAGTAAATTTGATCCTTAAGAAATTAACCATAAAGTAATGTTATTAGGATAAAATATATAATCACTAAAACAATAAGAACAAAAATAAAAATATAATTACGAATTCGATAATAAATGAAATAAAACTTGTTTAAGCCTATATAATAAAAGTGGAATAAGAAAGTTATTCTATTTTTCTAAGAAAAAACATGTTCATAGGTTAGTCACCTTTCTGGATCGCTTTTAACATATCTTGGTAGATTTTCTACATCAAAATTTAAAATCAGTTCAATTGGCCTATCCTTTACATTATTTGCAGATTGTTCAATTACTTCCTCAAATAGGTTCAATAAATCAAATGTTGTATTTATTAGGATAATTTTTTGCGCTTCTAATTTCGCTGCGTTAAGGATGTTATTAATTATAGACAATACAGCATCGGAAGTATGTGTCATTATATCGATCATGTCTTTTTGATAATCATCTAAAGTGCTATTTTCAAAAGAAGAAAGAATGCCAACTATTGCTCCTAAGGGGGTTCGCAATTCTTTAATAATAAAAAATGATAGTGATTAAAATAGCCAAATTTAATACAAATTGCAAATATAATTATATTTAAATTTTATATTGTACCATGAGAAGTATTTGCCAATATTTGATTTTTAGTCTCATTTGCAAAAGCTTCAACTTTTATTTGTATTTCTTTTTTTAAATTCTCTTCCAATAAGATATTATAAGTAATGGCTAAACTTATTTGATTTGATATTTGTTGTAACAACTCTATTTCTGAGCAATGCCAAATAGAATTTGGAGACCGATGTAACTTAATCCATCCCCAATAACCATCACTCATTTTTATTTCCGCGGATAACATGGATGCATGTTTGCAAGTATCGGCACAAAATGTATTAGGCGTAATTTCTACTCCAGAATCGTTATTTAAAAACATTTGTGAACGTGGATTTTGGGAAGATGAATCTGTAATTTTTACTTCTTGGAATTGTTCAGTTATTGGTGTTATTGTAATACTTTCCGGATCTTCATACAAAGCAACCAATGTACGATTTGAATTAGATGGTTCATATGAAATAATAAATATTCTATCGCATGGTAATATACTATGGATTGCTTTAATAACGTCTGAAAGCGTTTCCTTCAGATTAAATCCAGAATGAATCTTTTCAGAGATTGAAAGCAGAAATTGCTTTATTTCTTCTTGCCTTTGCTGTTGGGATAGAATTTTATGACGAAGATGTGAGAGTTCAATGTTATCACGAATACGAGCTATTAATTCTCGAGCAGAAAATGGTTTTTTTAAATAATCATTTGCTCCCTTATCAAATCCTAGGAATAAAATACATAAAAATAAGAGTGGCTCATTTAATAATCGGAGGTAATGAAATGAATTACAAATGAAATACCTGAATTACAAATGAAATACCTTTAATACTAGATTCTTCTTCAGCCTTTGCAGTTAATAAGATAACTGGTATTAATTGAGTTTTTATATTAGATCTTATCGAATCCAATAACTCATATCCATTCATATTTGGCATCATGACATCTGTTTAAATTTAATTAAATTACTTATTATATACAACATATTAATAAAAAATTCTGTGATCATATTTCACTTGCCACTAAGAATTAAATCTGGAAGTTTATCAAGCTCCTTTAAAATTCTAATTGCTTCCTGACCATCACAAGCACAAAGTACATTAAATTCTCTTAGCAAGTCCGATAGATAAGTTCTATTTCAATAAAAAAAAAAAATTTGTAAAATCTCTTGGAAATTTACAAACAAAATAATAAATAGGTACCGCATATCATTATTATCGTCAACAACCAATATTTGACATTTTTTATCGATAATAGTCTCAGACTTATTTATAGGAATGACTTTATTTATTGATCTTATATTAGTATTAATATTGAGGCCACTTATTAATTTCTTACTTAACACATTTTCTTGGATTGAAAGTGAATTATTTTGAGTCCATTGCGAGTTTTCTTCTAAATAAAGTTGTAATTTTGAGTATCTTTGATCGTGACTCATTAGATCTTCTTTTATATTATTATGATATATTTGATTTATCGGCAGATGTTTACATCCAGTTGGAAACCGACACTTAAACGTCGTTCCTTGATTAACTACTGAAGTTACCGTTATTTCACCTCCATGACATGTAATAAATTCTTTAACAAGAGCGAGGCCAATTCCAGCGCCTTCATGGCTGCGAGAATTTTGAGATTCTACATGATAAAAACGCTGGAATATATTTGGAAGTGCAGTTTCTGAAATGCCAACACCTAACTTATTTAAAATAATTGATGAGGACATACATATGTATATATAAAACTTATAATAACTTTTGCATAAAACAATATTAACCAGTATCTGATATTTCAAGAACTACCATTTGTTGATTATTTTTGTGTTCGACGTATAAGCGAACGCAGATAGACCCATTCCATGTGTGCTTTAATGCATTTGAACCTTTAAAGAGTGAAATACTGTTAATATCTTAGCGCATTAATAAGTTTCATGCATTTCAAATTATGTATCATAAAATTGCACTGCATATCTATTTTTTAAAAAAAAATAAAAAAAATGCTTACAAAGATTAAATATAATTGTCTCATACATATCATGATCTATGTAAACTTTATCATTCACAATTTGATTAAAATTTGCTGGACTTGGAACATCAATAATATATTCTAGACCTAACGTTTTTGCTATACTTTCAAAATTCATAGCCAACTCTTGAGTAAATTTAACTATATTTGTTTCACAATAATGCGCTTCAAATCGGCCAGATTCTACATTTGAAAACTATATATGAAATGAATAATATAATTATATTTAATATTAAATGTTAATATAATTATTAACGATAAATTACATATAAAATTACCTGAAGTAAAGTATTGATAAGTTTAAGTAATCGGCATGTATTGCGTCGTATTATCTGAAGATACGAATTCATTTGCCCATCTTGTGAACATATATTAATTAACTCATCAAGTGGCGAAAATATTAGGGTTAATGGTGCTAGTAAAATACATATGCATATTAATAAACTTATTTTTAAATCTTTTTTTTTAAAAAAAATAAAGAGGAGTCCTAAGAAATCCTTAATACTTTTTAGTTCGTGGCTTATATTTTGTAAAAATAATTCTTTTTGATGATTTAAATCGGCTAATGTTTTTGCACGTCTTCTTTCATCTTCTATTGTCTTTCCACGCATCAAAGCTTTATTCACACAACTTGCAACTAACTGATAATAATCATAAAGTTTATTTGTTAAATAATGAAAAAAAATTAAAGATAAGTACTATATCCACGCACATTGTAAAATCTTATATACTGATCATCAAGTCTGCGAAGAGGATTAATGCCACAAATCAATATAGCAGACAAATTTCGATCTTTACAGGATGAGAGTTTTATTGGTAAGAGTATTGCTTGAGAATCGTCTTTTAAAAGAATTTGAATGTGTTTTCCTTCCTTCAAAACAAGATGGAAGGGCCAAGAATCACATTTTAAGAATGAATAGGTTGGTGTTTCCTTTTTTATTTCAATACAAGTTTCATAGCTTTGATTAGAGATTTTAGTTAAAGCAATTGTTTCATGTGTTTCTGGAAAATAATCTGGAATATGTCTTTTTAATTTCTCCAGAATAAATTCTTCTTTACAGACTTCATCAAAGGTTGTAGAGATTAAACGAGCAATCAGAGATTTAAGGCCAGTCTTCTGCTCATTATGATTTTCAACAAGATAAATTAATGCATATGGAATATCTTTATTATCTTGTAATGTCTTCATTATAATATGGCATGCACCTTCTAAGGACTCGGCATCTTCAAACACGTCAATATGATTAATTCTAATATATGTAACAGCATCACGTGGCGTTGATGAATTTACTAACCGGCAGTCTGAATTGCAAGTTTATCAAGAGTACTTAATCTTCGAACATTTAAGACATTTTGAGTAACTTCTGATGTTATATTAAGTACACCCCATACAGAACCATCAAATTTAAAAATTGGGCTAAATGAACAGTTAAAGTACACTTCTTCTCTATAGCCATTACGTACTGATTCTAAGTAGAAATCATGTGCATACCAGCCTTTGCCAGTTGCCCTTACA